ATATATATGTATGTATGCAATCCGGATTTATTAGACGATGAACAAAGGAATATATATATATATATATTAAGTTGTATATTGTACATCATCGACAAATAAAATTCGGATTGCATACAAACACACACGCACCGGACTATACAACTCAAGATATATATATATATATATATATCTGATCTTTCCCGCCTGTATGTTGAGACATCTGATTGATCCATCCTATTCTAAACGATTGGAAAGTGGTACAACTACGTTGATCTTATTCAAACCAGCGCATCACGTTGGCGCACTGTACTTTTTATCAAAAGGTCCTTAGTTATTGGATCTCGGAATGTTTTTACTGTTTTGGCCTTTAATGGTGCAAGTTTAAAGATGTTAGACTTGGTTAAATTCTTAGCATAATTGCCACGATTGAAATATGTTTTTCCTACAGTAAGATCTTGGAATGATTCACTGTGTGCTCCGCCGCCCCCTATGCCGTTTCGTCAGTAATGCTTTTCTTTTTTCTCAAATCGGTACCATCGTGAGCGAATAAAGCCTCGTAATCGGTGTACCCGTTAGCGCCTTGCCCATGTGTCATCCAAGTTTTGGGATTTTGCTCTGTAACTAACTCAGCGTTGTTTTTGAATCTGCATTTGAGACCAGACAAACATAGTCATTAGTGTGCAGTAATTTATATACCGACTGATGGCTCGTGACCTTTCAGACCCCACACATGCTAACCCACGAGTATGTGAAAACGGATATCAACACGAACTGCACGCCAGCATGCGTGTCGTCGACACCTGACAACAGCAATTGCTCGGCAGTTTGACCGAAACCAGTAGACCACTATATACACACACTTCCGACATAAAACGAATAAACTACCACAAAGTACAGGGGCCGCTACACACCGCATTGGGAGATCGGGATTCGTCATGTATAGTCGTCCGTAGGAGATCAGAGACGCATTTCCGTCGGCAATGGCCATCTCGCCGGACTCTTGAGTGTAGCCGCAGTTACCAATGAGATGCGTGACGGGATCATTCCCTTGTACACTCTGTGTTGATCGATGGCAACCGTTGACAAGACGTAAGTTGAAGAGCGATATAGAATTTTATATAAAAATAGCCTATCGGTGAATTATATGCCACCATCTGGATCTGAGTCTTTGGGTTTGTGAGATATGTGCAGAGTATTCTACAGCTTGTTAGATGGCAACTATAACTCTAGTTATGCGTCACAAAAACGGAATACAGAGCGAATGCTTCGATACGCTAGCGCGATATACAACTTGTAATAATGTACTCACAACACACGATACGAAGCTCAATGACCACTGAGAAAAATCACTCCCCATAAAAAAGTGTGGTTTCACCAGCAGCTCCACGCAATGGTGACACCACCACGTTGCTCATATAAAGACGTACCTTGACTTGCGTTTGAGCCCGCTCCAGAGTGTATGGTTCAGTTTTCTTGTGGAAGCCGAAGTTAAGTCCGTCTATAAGCTCGATGAAGACCAGCTTATGCTCGGCAATTTTCTTGATCGCAGCATCGAAAGTCTCCAGGTTATCTTCGCTACCCATACCACCGAAAATTCCGTTGGGCGACAATTTGATACCAACCTGAAGGGAGTGTGCATTTAAGGTGTCAGTATCCTTGGATCAACAAGAAATAAGTTGACAAAATAATCATGTATAAATCGTCAAAGACTCTAAATAGCGATGTCTGTTACTAGCTGACTCTACACATACCTAGCTCAACTGTCCCAAACACCATAACCCTCACAAGGATACACCCTGAAATCCTAAAACCCAAGAACCGTCAAGGATAAACCTCTAAACCCTGAAATCCAAATATAAACCCCTAAGCCCTAAAACCCAAGAATCATCATATTGTATCACCCATTCAGAAGAACATCTAGTTAGCTGGCAATAAATCTTCTCTGCATGAACGTCGCGTTTGCAGCGCAATGTTACCTTATCGGCCGGCCATTCTTGAAGCACCGCTTTGATAACCTCGTCCATGAAACGTATTCTATTCTCGACAGAACCGCCGTAGCTATCCTCTCGGTGGTTAGAGCAAGATTGAAGGAACGTGTCGATCAAATAGCCATTTGCGCTGTGTATTTGTACCCCATCGAATCCTGCTTTCTGTTTATACAACAAAAGAATAGAATATAAGATTCATCATTGTACAAGAATCGAGGTACTAGACGGTTAAATGCTGACAGAGAAGTACGCCGACCAGATGTGCTGATGTTATGTCCTTACAAGCTCTTTTTAAAATGTCAAATGTAACCCATACTTAAAAAGTGATGCGAGAACATAACGGTTAAAGCCGTGTACACGTCATTCTTATCACATGCCAACCCTTCCAATCGTACTGCAGACCAGTACTGTGTTTTGTTTTGCTGAACTATTTTGGTTTCTATGGCTACGTCTAATGCTAGATTAACTAGTTTGAACATAGCACACACACCTTAGCCATAGCTGCCGCATGGCGGTATTCTTCCACTATTTTAGGGATTTCCTCCAATGTGAGCGCTCGGGGCATTCCGTAGTCAGCCTTTTCATTGCGGAGGTGCATCTGACCTTCCACTCTGATCGCCGATGGTGCAATCACGCCCATGGAACCCTCTACTACCTCTGGGTGACTTTGTCTGTGGAAGGTTAGAGTGTATACTAATATCAGTACATCTGTTTTAAACTAGTACCGAGTCTGTAGAGTCATCATATCTGCCTCAGAGGCTGGTGTTAGTGCACTACACTAACGACACCGAGCGAGCACACACTTTAAGTGAGAAATAATCAGGACGCTCGGTTTGTCGATGATACGTTCAATAGAAATTAACCTCCCACTCCTGCGAACGTACGCACCTCCCATTCACAGTTCTCGGACGAGTAGAACCACTCTGAAATTGTACGGATCCATTCTACATTCTACACTATCCATGACAATGTACGAAAACAACAAATAGGTCTAACTCGGCAGTGCTAACGGTTCAAAGTATGCGTGCGGTAGAAACAACTTAAACTCACCTTCCTTGATGCCATAACTGCATCACGACTTTAGCATCACCCGCTTCGCGAGTCTTGCTTAGTACTTTCCTCCACGACTCGACCTGCCCCTCAGTCCAAATACCGGCAGCATCGACCTACAGCATGATGTACGGTTACAAAGGTGAGACAATAAGTGGAACACACAAAGACAAGCATCAACAAGATATATTGCTTCGCAAGCATACAGTACAGTACATGGTATAAGTAGTAACAAGTGACTAACATACAGAACACGAAGGGATAAGAGCATCAATCATCTATATTGTAGCGCAATCTTTTAATAGAATACACGCCATAGCTATTAACAAACGACGACATGCATGACACAAAGGAATACGAGCATTTTACCATATATTTATTAAAGCGCAAGCATACAGTATAATATATGCCATAGTAATTCACGCGCGACAGCATAAAAAAACAACAGGAGAGCGAGCTATATGGAAGCGCAAGCATAATTTAAAGTGAAATAAGTAGCAACGTTCCCCAGCTATGCCGGTATTATGGTACACACACGGATATAAGCATATATGTATATACACTCAGCGTAGATTGGAAGATATCTGAAGTACAATATTAATCAAGTAAAGTCCTGCTAAAACAGTGATCGCGATCAGTGTATACGAGAATACGTAACATCATGTTCGGTTTTACATACATATATGTATATAAATATATAAATATATGAATAAATATATATAAATAGAGGTACAAATATAAATAAATCAACATCTAAATAAATATAAATATTAATAAAAGTAAAAATATATATATA